CTTTTTTTTTTCTTTCGTTTTTATTGTTTTCTATTCTCTGTTCCTTTGTTCAAAATTTGGTGTCTTTTAGAGAAATGGAAGCTCTCTGTCACCATAATTTTTGTCCCACCTTGGTTTTTTTGTCCTTTTGATTTGACTTTCACTTTCTCCCATCCGTCTTCACCCTTGACTTTTTTGTTACTCTGTGACTTTCAAAATTTGAATAAAATAACTTTCACGCTGTTCCCTTGTACTGTGAGTAATGGGATGTAAGTTCAGTAAGCTTGATAATTCAAAGATCTTTTAAATGAAGCTTGAAATTATTGAATCATGTTTTAGTAATATATCTTGGAAATCAGGGTATGTGCAGTTAATGTTGTACAATAACATCATGAGTTGGTTTGAGATAGGCTTTGAACTTACTCCATCCCTTTTGTGTAGCAGAGGTCATTGCTTGAGTCTATTTATGAAGTGCAGAAATTATATTCTTTTTTTTTTTTGGTACCCAATTGTTGTCATTCTAACAACAGTGTGATGTTAACTGCAAATTGTGTTCAATAGTTGACGTTGATACTGCTGTGTATGTTTGCATCCGTCTCATTCAGAAGACTCCATTTCATGGCTGAAAAAGAAATGAAAAACATGAAGGAAAATTCTGAAAGGACTTTTGCATTATATATATCACAATGAAAGCTGTTTAGTGTACTTTCTTGATGAAAATTTATTGTATCTAATGCGCTGTCCAAAGCAAGAATGCAGGAGCTGACCTCCTTTTTCTTCCCACCTTGAATATAATCCCTCTCTGACTCAACATGTAATCTGACTAGTTATTGTAGCTGAGCACTTTGTAGTGCATGTTAGAGAGAATAACTCCACTTAAATGTGTAAAGACACCCCCCACCCCCCACCCCCCTGATCCTCACTGCATGAGGTGATTAGAGAGCCTACTTGGGATGCTGAGTGTGGAGACTTGATTGTGTCTCCAAGAACAGACAATACCACCACCTGTCGTAGACGGACAGGGCGTGCTGTTACCCCCAAACCTTCTCTTTTCCATTTCCATTTTTGTGAGTTTGGGTGTGTTTTTTTAATGGGGTGAAAGTATCAAAATAGTATTTGCTTTAATGCCCATCCATATGAAGAAAAAGTATGAGTTTGGCTTGTGACCTTTTAAGGTTTACTTTCCGGAATATCTGTATAGCACCTTTCAGATGAAAGATTACCTTTTGAAATTAAAAGACTTTGATGGCAAATTAAACACTAAAGCTCCCTGGTCTGATCAGATCAGTTTTAGTCAGATATGGAGATGGAATGGATAAGGTTGAAGGTTGCAACATGTGCCTGTTTCTGGCACTGCTTCTCTCCACGTTGTTAGCTTTTCCTCTTGGCCTTGCTCCTCAGTTCCCCACGAAAGCCAGGGAGAGACCTATGACAGCAACACCATGATCTTCTTAGGTAATATTCACACGGCCTTGGCCATACGTAATGTAATATAAGTGTTCTGCTCTTTACTAACGATGAATGTTCACAGCGCCGCCCCAGGTTTGCTGTTCTCCGCCACCACCCGCCAGGGATGAGGAGGAACAGCACCACAAATTTGCTGTATTTTCATTAGATGTTTTTAAAAACTTGATAGATTAGATACAGGAGCTGGTAGACAGTACTGGTGCTAGACGCTTTAAGTGGTCAAGTGATCTGTAGGAATAAGTTAAGATACAACGAACACAATAAGAGCATAGTGTAAATATGTACAAATCAGTGCTATGTAGATGCCCCCTTGCTTTACCTTTTGCCTCCCTGCAGGACTTGTACACTGCTTTTTGCTTCTAACTTTCACCAATCGTGGCTGATTTTTGTCAGACTTGGCCAGTCCATTATGGTCACCGTCCAAGAATTCTCTGTTACTTTCATCTGTCTTAGTGTAGCTTGATAGTCTCTTTGTGTCTGTGTGGTCTCTTTCTGTACCGCAGACCAACGGCTTTGTTATTCTCTCTGTCCATTTGGGTTTAGTCCTCATGGTCTCTGCTACTTATGAAACTGCTATTGTCTGTTCCATGTAGAACAATATTTACTCTGTATTGTCATGTTGGGGGGGGGGAGACAAATTTTGGGTCTTAGCCTGCTTTTGGGGGGGGGGGGGGGGGGTTGTTGTTTTATTCAGTTTTTACTCCAAGTCTTGTTTTGTTTTTTTTATTAGGGGGGGGGGGGGGGGGGGGTTCAGAGAAGGACATTGTACTTTTATAGATTACGATTTTATTGTTTTGTTATAAAATTCTGCAGCAGAAAAAAAAATGTCCTCATAACTTGCGAGATTAATATTCCTCTATGTAATGTTTGTTGCCACCTATTGTGGTCAGAATTATTATAAACCTTCTTAGTTCTTCAGACAAAGTAAAACGAAAAGAAAAATGCAGTAAAAAGTCAGTTTTGTTCTTTTCCTTTCTATTATTCTAAACATTTTATGATTCTTTGAAGGCCTCTTTAACAAATAAATGGAAGCAACAGTAATTGTCTATTCTCCTACTTTTAACAACATGCACATAAAGGTTTACTCTATCCTCCATGAGGATGGTTGGTTGGTGCCAGTGATGGTCCCACGACTTTTCTTTTCCTGTTTGTTTCTGTCAGTCCGTCTTATGCGCTGCAAACAAAACAGAAAACTTTTTGAATGTGACATGTTTTGGTCATGTCAGACAGATCTCCATCCTTAACAAAACGATGCAAGGGACCTGTATGTGATTATGCTAGATTCAAGGTTAGGCAAGTTGTCTCCGTGTCCAGTTGGTACATTCTGTGAGTGAGTGCACCAGCCAATTGCCCTGTTAGTTGAATGAAGAGGTTGACTGCCTCTGGGGTAGTGCAGAGGATAAAGGGCCACATTTGGGGCTGGATTGATTTATGTAATCCAAGCAGGTCATATTTGAGGTTGCGTTCACTTAATTTTTCTGCTTTTTTATCTTTGGCCGCTCCAGAGGGAGCACTCTTGGGCGACGATTGTAAGTTTTCCTATTTCACTCAGTTGGTACAATAGCTGCCCCACCCCCACCCTTCGAATATCACTTCTTGGTTCAAACCCCTTTGAAAAATATGTTTGAGTGCAGATTTTTCCCTTTTTCGTTTTCTACATAGAAGCTTCTTATGTACTGCTTTACAATTTGGGAAGAGAGGGGGGA